TTGTTCGGCTGGAAAATCATTTCCCTGTGGAGGCTCCCAAGGAACGGTGATTGGTGAAGAGCCCACTTGTATAAATAGATATCCTCCTTAAAGGATTCGTTTTCTGCCATAATCATTGTGATGGTTTATGTGTAAACATAGATATACAGTTGTATATAGGTTGCTGAACCAAAACCCGGTTCCGCGCACAAGCTGATTTTCTATGTGAAAACAGGTTTGGTGTTGAGCCAAAAACCGGTTCCATAGAAGAACCAGTTTTCCCTGTGAAAACCAGTTTCGCGCAGTGATTCAAAGGCGAAACCAGTTTTCCTGTGGAACCAGCTTTGGTTTAACCAAGCTTGTTTTGTATTTGTGGGATTTGTATCCACCTACAAACCATTTCCAAACAACTTTCTGGTACTCGCGATATATATATATATATATATGTGTGTGTGTGTGTGTGTGTGTGTGTGTGTGTGTGTGTGTGTGTGTGTGTGTGTGTGTGTGTGTGTGTGTGTGTGTGTGTGTGTGTGTGTGTGTGTGTGTGTGTGTATATGTGTATGTGTATGTGTATGTGTATGTGTATGTGTATGTGTATGTGTAGATGTAGATGTAGATGTATATGTATATTTACGTTGGAAACACACACACAGGTATACATATGTATATATATATATAATATGTTGACAGGTTGTTTGTACCTTCATCCTTGACAAAACAACCGATTTCAAACAAACGTGCTATTTGCATGCTTTACGCGAGGATATCTGTATATGTGTACTATATGTAAAAACTATGCATTTCGACATCTATATCTATATGCATAATAAGTGTGTGTATCTCTGGGCTTCTACAGATAGATACATACATGTATATATCTATATATCTATATATATATATAAAAAGCGAGAGAGAGAGAGAGAGCGAGAAAGATAAGGATGTTGTGCTTCCACCAGTGTTGATCCACTTTTGCTTAAGGCTTGCAGGACATCGAGAGCTTTGGGGGTGTTCATATTGAGGGTGTCGGGTATTTAGGGTTTCAGGCCATTGAAAATCCAGAGCAAGGGAATGCGGGTTTACGGCAGCCAGGATTTTAGGGCAAAAAAACGTTGTTCGTAACCACCTTCGAGTCTGGGCAGTCTGGCTGATGAGTTTTGGGTATTGAAGGCCTCCGGGGCCCCCATGAGCCACCAAAAAAATCTCATCAGACAGACTTGAAAAGGGTGGTCGTTTTCGCTGAAAACGACCACCCTTTCAAGAAAAAAACAGCCTGTCTGGAGCCTTGGGATGGTCTGAACTTGTGCTTTCTCTGAGCAAAACGGGTTTGAAAACTGTTGTTTTCTTGAAAGGGCGGTCGTTTTCAGCGAAAACGACCACCCTTTTCAAGTCTGTCTGATGAGATTTTATTGGTGGCTCATGGGGGCCCCGAGGCCTTCAATACCCAAAACTCATCAGCCAGACTGTCCAAACTCGAAAAGGGTGGTTACGAACAACGTTTTTTGGCCCTAAAATCCTAACTGCCGTAAACCCGCATTCCCTTATTCTGGATTTTCATTGGCCTGAAACCCTAAATACCCGACACCCTCAATATGAACACCCCCAAAGCTCTCGATGTCCTGCAAGCCTTAAGCAAAAGTGGATCAACACTGGTGGAAGCACAACATCCTTATCTTTCTCGCTCTCGCTCTCTCTCTCTCTCTCTCTCTCTCTCTCTCTCTCTCTCTCTCTCTCGCTTTATATAGATATAGATATATAGATATATACATGTATGTATCTATCTGTAGAAGCCCAGAGATACACACACTTATTATGCATATAGATATAGATGTCGAAATGCATAGTTTTTACATATAGTACACATATACAGATATCCTCGCGTAAAGCATGCAAATAGCACGTTTGTTTGAAATCGGTTGTTTTGTCAAGGATGAAGGTACAAACAACCTGTCAACATGTAGAATCTCAGGCATGCACGGACATGTACATACACATACATATGTATATATATATATACATATGTATACCTGTGTGTGTGTGTGTTTCCAACGTAAATATACATATACATTCTACATCTACATCTACATCTACACATACACATACACATACACATACACATACACATACACATACACACACACATACACACACACACACACATATATATATATATATCGCGAGTACCAAAAAGCTGTTTGGAGATGGTTTGTAGCTGGATACAAATCCCACAAATACAAAACAAGCTTGGTTAAACCAAAGCTGGTTCCACAGGAAAACTGGTTTCGCCTTTGAATCACTGCACGAAACTGGTTTTCACAGGGAAAACTGGTTCTTCTAAGGAACCGGTTTTTGGCTCAACACCAAACCTGTTTTCACATAGAAAATCGGTTTGTGCGCGGAACCGGGTTTTGGTTCAGCAACCTATATACAACTGTATATCTATGTTTACACATGAACCATCACAATGATTATGGCAGAAAACGAATCTTTTAAGGAGGATATCTATTTATACAAGTGGACTCTTCACCAATCACCGTTCCTTGAATGAGGCTCCACAGGGAAATGGTTTTTCCTGCCGAACAACAGTTTCTCGTGGAAGCATTCATTGCCTCTTATAATCTCTCGCAATTAATCTCTCTCTCTCCCTCTCTCTCTCTCTTTTTCTATTCATATATATACAGATACACATTCTTATGTGGCTCAGTGGTGGATGTGCAAAAGGCAAGGGGCGTCCCAAAAGCCTCTCAGAAGCCTTCAGGTCGCTTGATCTCGGTGCCAGGGCTTGAAGACAACTTCAGGGCCCCCCTTGACCAGGCTCACTACAGACCAAATTGGTTGGAATTAGTTGGAGAAAGTTGTAAACAGTTTGGGAAGCCCTCTGCACCTACGACAGAGAAAGCCGTGAGTAAGGTAAAGGGTTTAGGGGATAAGGGTTTAGGGTATAGGGGCATAGGGTATAGGGTATCGGGTATAGGGTATAGGGTATAGGGTATAAGGTATAGGGTATGGGGGAAAAAGGTACAGGGTACAGGGTATAAGGTATAGGGTATAGGGTATAGGGTATAGGGTATAGGGTTTGGGGTTTAGGGTTTAGGGTTTAGAGTTTAGGGTATCGGGTATAGGGCATAGGGTATAGGGTGTAGGGCTTAGGGTTTAGGGTTGAGGGTTTAGGGTTTAGGGTTCAGCGTGTAGAGTAGATTCGAGTGTTCCCGGCCCTGGACGCTTTGTGTTGGCGCCTAATGCAACACTACAACATTTTTTGCGTGCCTTGCTTGGCCCAGCTTGAGGAGTTTGTGTGATATGCAAGTGGCATTTGAATTTGTTCGAAACATTCAGTTCAAGTTTTGGACAGAATCTGGCCTGAATGACATATTCATATGTTCTGCCCGACCACACGAACATATCCACCAAAGTGGCGAAGAGTAGTGCCAGATAGAAATGTTGGGATTAGTGACGGGTCTGAAGAAACTAGTGACGGTGCAAGGCTTGGCCAGGTGGAGAGAGAAGCGTCCATGCGATGCAATGCAACGTCTTTGTGCACAGCCTTCAAAACTTACCAAATGAAGTGAATATAACGATTATACAAGCTAGTTGTGCAGCATCTAAACGTTTTCATGATTGACTTGAGCAGGACGAGCAGCATGTGCATCGTAGTTTGTGTGCATTTTTCTATGTTTTGGGACATCCGCTTTTGTTCTCCACGATGTTGCACCGCCTTGTTTCCATGTCGATGTTTGATGGTAATCCGCATTTTGTTGTCTCAACAGCAGGCGTAGATTTTCGGTTACCAAGCCTGTAAAGGGCTTTGTGGCCTGTAACCCGTGTATGGACCCTTGCATGGTATAGCATGCAATTTCATTGGAAATTGACAGGGAGGTATTGACAGTTTGACGCGCCTTGCTCGATGAACATGTCCTTTGCAAATGCCCAAGTGCGGGCCTCGGAACTTGCAATGCACGTGCCAATAGAGCCGTCGTCAGTGTTTCAAGTCAAAATTTCGCTTGGGCAGATTCGCTCAGGTGCCCACGGAACGGCCTGACGCAGTGCCCGTACTTTCGCAGGATACAAGTGTTGCGTAACATGTCAGCCGAAGCTGGTTATGAGTTGTGTTGCAGGACAGTGATTGGTACTTCGATGTTCCCAATGAGCATTCCAACCAGGCTTTGCCCAGACTGATTGCTGCGGTGTCATGATATATTTAGGTGCCAGGCGCCAGGATGCCAAGGGACACGTTCGATCATGGTGCTTGATTTGTGTGAAGTGTTCCCATTTGTAGCGGCAAGGTAAAGCCCACGTCTCGCAGTTCACATATGTCTCGGCATCCTTTGCTGGTGCAAAAGCAGGCGGCACTTGAAAACATAACATGTGATGTTGCAGTGTTTCATGCGTGGACGCAGGGCTTGCGGTTTTTCACTTGGTAGGATTTCGTGGATCTCGATGCGTGCCGGTCTGAGCATGGAGCACAGAAGTCTCAATTCACTGTACGACAGAATGAGCATGGGGTCCTGAGTTTTGAGAGTTCCGCTTCAATGTGTCCAGGGCAACGAGAGTACAAGTTTCGTCTGCGTCAACAGGGAGGTCCACCCGCTTGGCGGTTTCGAGTCGTGCTGGTTGCCGAGTCACTGTCACAAGGTCTCATAAGACACATGACGGGACCGGACACATAGTTCCAGAAAGAACTCCAGGTTCAAGCTTTGCTGCAGCATGTCGCAATGTGACAGAAAAAATCCGCCACCATCTCAAGATGTTTGTTCTGGGATCGTATGGGCGTGGGCGAGACAAGATGAACCGAGCTTATGTTCTTATTTTGAACAGCATCTCCTTGGCGCGTAGCTATGGTGCGTGCGCTGCTGGCGCTCCTGTTTGGGCCTGGGTTGTTGTCCTCAACCCTAAACCCTAAACCCTAAACCCTAAACCCTAAACCCTAAACCCTAAACCCTAAACCCTAAACCCTAAACCCTAAACCCTTAAACCCTAAACCCTAAGCCCTAAACCCCAAAGAGGTTTTGCTGCAACTCTGCAAGGTCAACATGGAAGCTGCAAGTTGCATCCCGCGGTGTGCTGGATGTGCCATGGGAGGCACCTTGTTGTATTTGAGGTCGGATTCTGTAAGGACTCGGTTGCTGCAGAACGTCAGCTGTTGCTTGCAGGCTCGACGAAGTAACATCATTCGAGTGACTCGCACGGAACCAAGATTCTGAGCTTCTCTTGCAGACGGTCTAGCCAGATTACCCCACGACTCTGGCAGGACAGGAATGTGATGAATGTTCCACCTTGGAAGATCTCTACAGGGCCGTGTTCTTGATTCTTCGTGGGAGGTGTACAGTGGCAGAGGATAAAGCGCATTAAAAAAATGTCTGGTGCCAGTCCATCAGGACAACAATTTGGTTTTCCTTCTTTTCCATGAGCGGAATCTCGTGTCGCACCATGCGTACAAGGCAGTTTCGTTGCCTTGCTTGAACACTTGCACGCCCAAATCATCTCATTTCTGCCAGGGTGCCATCGTTGCGGGCTTTCACGAGGCGACCGCTGCACATCACGCGTGCAATTTGTGCAGTTTGTCAGAATACAAGGCTGTCCAGCTATTCGCGGCGTGTGCGAGGTGTGTAAGGATCTTCGCTGGTCTAAGGCGGCCTTCGTGCAGTTTATTTATTGTGCAAGACCTGCCTGGATTTGCTATTCTAGCCTCTTTTAGTCGAATGCAGCAGGTTACTTGTGGCATCGTGGACATGATAGAGGCTGGCCACATGTAACAACTTTGCAGATATAGAGAGCTGCACATACTTGAAGCAAGTCTGGTTGCAACAGAGGTTTGTATCGATGGCAGGACAGGGCATACGCTGAGAAATACATCGATCCCAAGACGGCTCCTGCGCACATTGCCGTGCAAGTCTGTCACTTACACTGTGCCATGAGGGGCTGTTAACCAGAGTTATGTCCAAGTGGTTGCACATGTATATATATATATATGAAAGAGCAGCCTTTCGGGTCTATTTAGCTCATTCCTTTTTTTAATAAGTATTTAAACGATTTAAACGATTCAAACGATTTAAACGATTTAATTGAGGCCAATTAAATCGTTTAAATCGCCCAGGCCAATTAACTTATTTAACTTATTTAATTCAGGCGTCCGATTTAAGCGATTTAATTGGGTCCAATTAAATCGTGTAAATCGCCCAGGCCAATTAAATAATTTAATCGGCCTGGGCGATTTAAACGATTTAATTGGACTCAAATAAATCGTTTAAATCGCCCAGGTCAATTAAATTGTTTAATTCAGGCGTCCGATTTAAACGATTTAATTGGACCCAATTAAATCGTTTAAGTCGCCCAGGCCAATTAAACTATTTAATTGGCCTGGGCGATTTAAACGATTTAATTGGTTGGTTTAGGGCTTGACTGGGTCTCCCCCCAATTAAATCGATTTAAACGATTTAAACGATTTAATCGATTTAAACGGTTTAATTGAGTCCAATTAAATCGTTTAAATCGCCCAGGCCAATTAAACTATTTAATTCAGGCGTCCGATTTAAACGATTTAATTGGACCCAATTAAATCGTTTAAATCGCCCAGGCCAATTAAACTATTTAATTCAGGCGTCCGATTTAAACGATTTAATTGGTTGGTTTATGGCTTGACTGGGTCTCCCCCCAATTAAATCGATTTAAACGATTTAATCGATTTAATCGATTTAAACGATTTAATTGAGTCCAATTAAATCGTTTAAATCGCCCAGGCCAATTAAACTATTTAATTCAGGCGTCCGATTTAAACGATTTAATTGGACCCAATTAAATCGTTTAAATCGCCCAGGCCAATTAAACTATTTAATTGGCCTGGGCGATTTAAACGATTTAATTGGTTGGCTTATGGCTTGACTGGGTCTCCCCCCAATTAAATCGATTTAAACGATTTAAACGATTTAATCGATTTAAACGATTCAATTGAGTCCAATTAAATCGTTTTAATCGCCCAGGCCAATTAAACTATTTAATTCAGGCGTCCGATTTAAACGATTTAATTGGACCCAATTAAATCGTTTAAATCGATTAAATCGTTTAAATCGTTTAAATCGATTTAATTGGGGGGGGGAAACCCAGTCAAGCCATAAACCAACCAATTAAATCGCTTAAATCGCCCAGGCCAATGAAACTATTTAATTCAGGCGTCCGATTTAAACGATTTAATTGGACCCAATTAAATCGTTTAAATCGCCCAGGCCAATTAAACTATTTAATTGGCCTGGGCGATTTAAACGATTTAATTGGACCCAATTAAATCGTTTAAATCGATTAAATCGTTTAAATCGTTTAAATCGATTTAATTGGAGGGGAAACCCAGTCAAGCCATAAACCAACCAATTAAATCGTTTAAATCGCCCAGGCCAATTAAACTATTTAATTCAGGCGTCCGATTTAAACGATTTAATTGGACCCAATTAAATCGTTTAAATCGCCCAGGCCAATTAAACTATTTAATTGGCCTGGGCGATTTAAACGATTTAATTGGACCCAATTAAATCGTTTAAATCGATTAAATCGTTTAAATCGTTTAAATCGATTTAATTGGGGGGGAAACCCAGTCAAGCCATAAACCAACCAATTAAATCGTTTAAATCGCCCAGGCCAATTAAACTATTTAATTCAGGCGTCCGATTTAAACGATTTAATTGGACCCAATTAAATCGTTTAAATCGCCCAGGCAATTAAACATTTAATGGCCTGGGCGATTTAAACGATTAATTGACCAATTAAATCGTTTAAAATCGTTTAAATCGTTTAAATCTATTTAATTGTGGCGAGACTCCACCCCCCCACCCCCTACCGCCACCCCCCCCACACCCTCCCTCCCAACTCCTCCCAACCCCCCCTCCCCCCCCCTCTACACCCCCCCATGCCCCCCCTTTTTTGGCCCAGACCCCCATTCTGGGCTTGAAAACCTGGGTCTGGGCCAGATCAAGGTGGGGCTGGAGGGGCTGGAGGGGCTGGAGGGCTGGAGAGGCTGCTGGAGGGGAGGGCTGGAGGGGCTCAAGGAGCTGGAGGGGCTGGAGGGGCTGGAGGGCTGGAGGGGCGGGGAGGGAGGAGGGACGAGAGAGGCACCCCCCCCCCCCCCCCCCCCCCCCCCCCCCTGGAGGGGCTGGAGGGCTGGAGGGCTGGAGGGGGAGGAGGGAGGAGGGAGGGAGGAGACGAGGGAGACCCCTTTCCCCTTCCCCCCCTACACCAACCCACGCGCCCCCTTCCCACAAAAAAACAACATTCACAATACTACTCGCACCTAATCCATCCTACCCCTCCTCTCACACCCTTTCACTCCAAGCTAGAAACCTGAAGTTATCATAACTATGATAACCTCAGCTGCCCCATCATGAGTTATCATAATTATGATAACTTTAACTTCCCCATCATAAGTTATCATAATTATGATAACTTCAACTTCCCGATTTGAATTATCATAATTATGATAACTTTAAGTTCTTAATCTCAGAGTATGATAATTATGATAAGTAACTTTTCATAATTATGATAAGCTATCATAATTATGATAAGTTATCATAAGTTATCATAATTATGATAAGGTATCATATAGGGCGTCCGCCTATTGCGGTTCCCCTTATTTTTTTATAGGTTACATAAATGTTGAGCAAATGTCCTTCAAAATAGAAACAAAAGGGTAATTCAAGTTTTGCTTATCGGGGGATGGTTGTTTGAGATATCTTAGGTAAGGTAGAGTTTTCCGGATGGGTTTTGTTTTGCTTATTGGGGCGTGATGGGGTTACCGTCATTGTCTTATAGGTTTATTTACATGCATATAAATCAAACCCTGAACGCTAGTTATAACCGCAGCAAAAAGTTATAACCTTGTCATACACATATATCCTACTTGCTGGGATTCAACATGTAAGCAAACTATATCGTTAAATGATGGAATTCAGGCTTTGCTTATCGGGGGATGGTTGCTTGAGATATCTTAGCTAAGGTAAAGTCTTTGGGACAGATGTTTTGTTTCGCTTATTGGGGTGTGATGGGCTTCCCCTTATTCTTATGGGTTTACATAAGTGTATAAAAATCAAACCCCAACCCATAGTTATAAGCACAGCAATAAGTTATAACCTTGTCATATAGATATTTCCGCAGAGCTCGTCAAATCCGATCATGATGTAGGCACCCCAACCCTATAGGGTTAAGGTTGACAGGTTTAGGGTTTAAGATTGAAGCATTTTAACCTAAGCCGGCAATTCAACCTAAACCCTAACCTTTAAACCCTATAGAGTTAGGGTTTAAGGAGCTAGGGTTTAAGGCGCAATCCCATATAGCATACATACACTTATGAGCAGAAAAGACACGGGGGACACTGCTTGCGATTCAGAATATTCGGAGCAGAAAAGACACAGGGGACACTGACATTTTTTCTCCGAATATGTGTCAGTAGAGCTGTGCGAACACAAAAAGCATGACACATTTTCCGCGGAATATGAGTCAGTAGAGCCGTGCTAACACAAAAAAGCATGACACATTTTCCGCGGAATATGTGTCACCAGAATTCTGTTAGCACCAAAACACAACATTTTTTTCGCAGAATATGTGTCAGTAGAGCTCTGCTAACACAAAAAACATGACACATTTTTCGCGGAATATGTGTCAGCAGAGCCGTGCTAACACAAAAAAGCATGACACATTTTTCGCGGAATATGTGTCACCAGAGTTCTGTTAGCGCCAGAAACATGACACTTTGTTTCCGCAGAATATGTGTCAGTAGAGCTGTGCTAACACAAAAAACATGACACATTTTCCGCGGAATATGTGTCGGTAGAGCCGTGCTAACACAAAAAAAACATGACACATTTTCCGCAGAATATGTGTCACCAAAGTTCTGCTAGCTCCAAAAACATGATAGCTTTTCCGCAGAATATGTGTCAGTAGAGCTGTGCTAACACAAAAAACATGACACGTTTTCCGCGGAATATGTGTCAGTAGAGCCGTGCTAACACAAACAAGCATGACACATTTTCCTCGGAATATGTGTCACCAGAGTTCTGTTACGGTGACGTTTTTTAAATAAGTGGAGGGCGGCCAACCTGCCACGGCAAGAGAGGTAGTATAAAAGACCAGTTTAAATCCGCATGTTTTCGTATTTGCCACCCCTCCACCTCCCCACCTCCACACCACCCCTCCACCCCTCCTCTCCACCTCCACCCCTCCCCCCCTACCCACCCCTCCACCCCTCCACCCCCCGTTCCACCCGCACAGGTGGAGGGGAGCCCCTCCGGGTGAGATTAAAGGATCACAACCAGTTGGAGGATAACAAAACCAAGAAAGTGGTTATTACAACTGAGGAGGCTTGAGAACGCGGATAGCGCAACTAGTCTTGCGTGTTGGTGGATATCGCAACCGTGTCAGTTTTGATGCAGAAGTTACGAAGTTCTAACTCAATTGTTAAGTTTCCCACATATTTGAACAACAAGTATAGAAATTGTGAGAAGAGGCCACGCAATGGCTTAAATCCAACAATCGTTTTATTCTTAAACCCTTGACATTTAATATGGGAACTACCATTGTGTAATTGAAAACATAAATTATCATTGAGGATATCTTCGGGACTAAAAGTTTCCCGTGTATGTACATAGCAGAGATGTTTTAGTTACACATACTTTAAACTTATATTTAATCAAATAATTTGAAGCTGTATGAAATGTCTTGACTATTGTTCTTCTTCTTACCTTTCACCTCCTTAGCTGCTTCTTCTACTTCATTTATTCTCAACGAGCTTTCTTATCTCTTCGTAAGCATGTTGTTTGACTTTCTTCTCTTCTTCGGTTTCTCTATTTGTTCGTATGTTGTTGCTTTCTTATGAAGCATTATGAATATCAGATCTTTGAATTAAACTGTTGT